ATGCATAATTGATATCATATATATCATGAATAAACATTTTAAATTATGACATTGGATTTTGTTGGGAAACTATAGTTGTTTAACCAATTTTCATGTAAAGTACTTCCTTATGTGAATGTATAACACATAAATCAGTGTACTTACTATATTTATTCCAAGAAATGATTATGCAGATAGAAAATAAACAGAAAATTTAACTGTCTATAAAATATTTCTAAAATAAAACCAGGACTGTAAGAACAAACTTATTTTTTGTAGAAACCTTTCAAGCACAATAGATAATACATGTGAGAATGTAAATTGGAATGGATACATATAATCAAGTTGGCATTGAAAACAAGAGCCACTATCTAGCTTGGGCCATGCTCGGCTTTTTCTTACATTGGAAGTCAAACACATCAGTAGGAGAATATTGTAATATCTATTAGAGTACTCCTAGAAAACATAATATAAATGTATAAAGTAAATTTCAAATTTGAATAGTAAAGGTCATAGTTGAATGATAATTGTTCTTTTGTCCAAGAATGAATCAAATCATAGACAAAAACAAAGTTATGACAATGTGAGTGAATTTCAATTGTTTGACCTTGGAGGTAATCATTTAAAGGTCAAAGTTATATCAGAAAAATTCAACATGTTGGTTCTGTGTTTGTTTGTTCAAGCATGAATCAAATCTGTAAAAAATAACAAAGTAATGACAATTCCAGCTAACTCCAAAGATATTTTATATCAAATAAAGGTCAAGGTCATATATGAACTTGAAGGGCTTTTGTCACAAAAACATGTCTCCCAAAACTGTGTATGGTTCTGATCACTCTTTTGAATTTTGGCAGTTGTACATGTGATAGATTTTTCTTTTTTTTAACTCTTGGGCCATTTTGTGCAGAGAAACAGAACATGGCTGCCATCGTTGGATACCCACAATTGATAAACATGTCACATAACATGCAATCAATGATGAATGTTAATGGTTCGGCCGTGGGTATCCGACAATGAGAACATGCCAACAATGTGCACAACTAAGGATGGCACTGTACACCCCTGTTTAGTCCTGTTTGAAATCTAACCAGCAGTTTAAACATTACCTTTTTATATAAGTTAAAGATAGAAAACATTATCAATTTTAATCCTATACTTATTATAGGTATTTATTGGATTCATTATTCAAAATTAAATGAAAGAGCATGGAACAAAATATTTTGAAGATCTAGTAAAATCTAAATGTTTTTAAAATCTAGTAGAATCAAAACTTTACAATAAATATATCAATAAATATACTATAAAGTACATTATAACAATACATGCATTTTGGATAATACACTCTCAGCTGAAATACTTTAAATGGGTGTGGTATTATAAATGTTTGTAAATATTGTAAGTTATCTAATCAATAAGTCTATTCTTAATAAAAGAAACTTGCACCTTGCTGTAACAACCTTGTAACATCTATGTTACCTTATTAATTCCGATTTCTGACCATTTTTAAGGCTTGTGCTGTAACACTTGTAACAACCTGTAACATTTGTAACAATTATCTGTGAAATTTTCATTTCACTCCAAACTCTCGTAACACTTGTAACAATGCTGTAACAACTATGTAACATCCTTGTAACATCTATGTAACCTTATTAATTCCGATTTCTGACCATTTTCAAGGCTTGTGCTGTAACACTTGTAACAACCTGTAACATTTGTAACAATTATCTGTGAAATTTTCATTTCACTCCAAACTCTCGTAACACTTGTAACAATGTTGTAACAACTATGTAACATCCTTGTAACATCTATGTAACCTTATTAATTCCGATTTTTGGCCATTTTCAAGGCTTGTTCTGTAACACTTGTAACAACCTGTAACATTTGTAACAATTATGTGTGAAATTTTCATTTCAATCTCAACTCTCGTAACATTTGTAACAATGCTGTAACAATGCTGTAACAACCTTGTAACATCTATGTAACCTTATTAATTCCGTTTTCTGACCATTTTTAAGGCTTGTGCTGTAACACTTGTAACAACCTGTAACATTTGTAACAATTATCTGTGAAATTTTCATTTCATTCTCAACCTTCGTAACATTTGTAACAATGCTGTAACAACTACGTAACAACCTTGTAACATCTATGTAACCTTATTAATTCCGATTTTTGGTCATTTTCAAGGCTTGTTCTGTAACACTTGTAACAACCTGTAACATTTGTAACAATTATCATAGATGTTACAATGTTGTTACGTAGTTGTTACAGCATTGTACAAATGTTACGAAGGTTATGAATGAAATGAAAATTTCACAGATAATTGTTACAAATGTTACAGGTTGTTACACATGTTACAGCACAAGCCTTAAAAATGGTCAGAAACCGGAATTAATAAGGTTACATAGATGTTACAAGGTTGTTACAGCATTGTTACAGCATTGTTACAGGAATTTGGAGTGAAATGAAAATTTCACAGATAATTGTTACAAATGTTACAGGTTGTTACAAATGTTACAGAACAAGCCTTGAAAATGACCAAAAATCGGAATTAATAAGGTTACATAGATGTTACAAGGTTGTTACGTAGTTGTTACAGCATTGTTACAAATGTTACGAAGGTTGAGAATGAAATGAAAATTTCACAGATAATTGTTACAAATGTTACAGGTTGTTACAAGTGTTACAGCACAAGCCTTAAAAATGGTCAGAAAACGGAATAAATAAGGTTACATAGATGTTACAAGGTTGTTACGTAGTTGTTACAGCATTGTTACAAATGTTACGAAGGTTGAGAATGAAATGAAAATTTCACAGATAATTGTTACAAATGTTACAGGTTGTTACAAGTGTTACAGCACAAGCCTTAAAAATGGTCAGAAAACGGAATAAAAAAGGTTACATAGATGTTACAAGGTTGTTACGTAGTTGTTACAGCATTGTTACAAATGTTACAAGAATTTGGAGTGAAATGAAAATTTCACAGATAATTGTTACAAATGTTACAGGTTGTTACAAATGTTACAGAACAAGCCTTGAAAATGACCAAAAATCGGAATTAATAAGGTTACATAGATGTTACAAGGTTGTTACGTAGTTGTTACAGCATTGTTACAAATGTTACGAAGGTTGAGAATGAAATGAAAATTTCACAGATAATTGTTACAAATGTTACAGGTTGTTACAAGTGTTACAGCACAAGCCTTAAAAATGGTCAGAAAACGGAATTAATAAGGTTACATAGATGTTACAAGGTTGTTACAGCATTGTTACAGCATTGTTACAAATGTTACAAGAATTTGGAGTGAAATGAAAATTTCACAGATAATTGTTACAAATGTTACAGGTTGTTACAAATGTTACAGAACAAGCCTTGAAAATGACCAAAAATCGGAATTAATAAGGTTACATAGATGTTACAAGGTTGTTACGTAGTTGTTACAGCATTGTTACAAATGTTACGAAGGTTGAGAATGAAATGAAAATTTCACAGATAATTGTTACAAATGTTACAGGTTGTTACAAGTGTTACAGCACAAGCCTTAAAAATGGTCAGAAAACGGAATTAATAAGGTTACATAGATGTTACAAGGTTGTTACATAGTTGTTACAGCATTGTTACAAATGTTACGAAGGTTGAGAATGAAATGAAAATTTCACAGATAATTGTTACAAATGTTACAGGTTGTTACAAGTGTTACAGAACAAGCCTTGAAAATGGCCAAAAATCGGAATTAATAAGGTTACATAGATGTTACAAGGATGTTACAGCATTGTTACAGCATTGTTACAAATGTTACGAGAGTTGAGAATGAAATGAAAATTTCACAGATAATTGTTACAAATGTTACAGGTTGTTACAAGTGTTACAGCACAAGCCTTAAAAATGGTCAGAAAACGGAATTAATAAGGTTACATAGATGTTACAAGGTTGTTACAGCATTGTTACAGCATTGTTACAGCATTGTTACAAATGTTACAAGAATTTGGAGTGAAATGAAAATTTCACAGATAATTGTTACAAATGTTACAGGTTGTTACAAATGTTACAGAACAAGCCTTGAAAATGACCAAAAATCGGAATTAATAAGGTTACATAGATGTTACAAGGTTGTTACAGCATTGTTACAGCATTGTTACAAATGTTACGAGAGTTTTGAGTGAAATGAAATTTCACAGATAAGAAATTCAAGCAACAAACTTGTTACAAATGTTACTGAATTCACATGCGTTACGTAGGAGTTACTTAGTGTTACGCTTGTAACAAATGGCAATACTTTCGTTAAATTGCGCCCATTTTGTGCCCTACGTGATATTTTCTGAACAAACTAGAACTGCCATTGTCATGGCGTGAATACCCCCACATACCAATTTGTCAGAATCAACAGTAGTCATTTACAGCTCAGCCAAATCTGAGGGAAGTAAGCCAGTGCATTGCTAAGTTATATATTCTACATGTTTTAGTGGAAAAGATCAAAGTGAACTTTACCTTGGACCTACTGACCTCAAAACTAAAACTGCCATTGAATGACTTCAATAACACCCCCCACCCATTTCATGCAGCCTTGCCTGGAGGTGTTTTATGATGAATATATGAGACCATTTGAGCAGACAAGCTAATTGTAATAAAAGCCCCTGTGACCTTGACCTTTGCCCCAGTAACCTCAAAATCAATAGGGGTATTCTACTAATCTTGACTAACCTCCATGCCAAATATGAAGACTATGGGTCTAAGGATTCTTAGGTAATTGGGCGGACAAGCTTTAATTAGCCAAGGCCCCTGTGACCATGACCTTAGACCTGAAAATAAATAGGGGTCATCTACTAATCATGACTAACCTCCATGCCAAATATGAAGACTGTGGGTCGAAGGATTCTTAAGTTATTGGGCAGAAAAGCTTTCTTCAGTCAAGACCCCTGTGACCTTGACCTTTGACTTGGTGTTCTCAAAATTAATGGAGGTCATCTACTAATCATGAAGGTAACCTCCATGCCAAATATGAAGACTGTGGGTCAAAGGAATCTTAATTTTATGGACGGACAAGAAAAAAGCGACGAATGCCCGACGGCCAGACAAGCTGATTCCAGTATAGCCCCCTTACAACTTTGTTGTGCGGGGTATAACAGATTTCAAACATTGATAAGTTAGCTCATCTTCTTAGTGATGAACTGGCGCCTCTATATTCAAATGTGGTTCTGTTCATACATAAGTTATCTCATGTTCTTCATGATAAACTCTAACCTTGAAGTTGATAGAGTTCTGTCCATACATATTTGAAAAATAGATAAGTGATCTTATTTTCCTGGTGAAAAACTGGTCGCTCATTCAATATCAATACATATTATGTCGCTCATTCCAGTTCTATACATATTATGATATTTCAAATATTGGAAAGTTATCTCATGTTCTTGGTGAAAGACTGGTGACTAATTTTCTCCTCAATGTCTTTTCTTTTTCTTATTAGATTAAGTCAAGTTACTATATTCATGAGGCTTTTGACATCACACATTCCAACATTGCAAATGGCAAGCAGTCTTCTGGTATTCCAATTTCTTTAAGTTTTGAAAAACCCAAATGTGTCAATTTCTCTAGTGTTTCCGACATGAAGACACATCTACATGCATCTGTCCTTATCACTCCTGCTATTACTGTTCTATCATACAAACGCCACTGTTTTCTGAAATATTTGTTTAGAAAAAGTTAATAGCAAAATAAATATTCCATTATTTTTGTTGTTGTTTTTTCGGGGAGTGGGGGTGGGGGCAATTTAAAGCACAATTTCCAGCTTTACTGCTTGAGGAAGACCTTGGTGCACCTATGTGTATGATTTCAGGCACCTAGGTACCATCAATGTTCCATAAATGAGCTAGATAGCTTTCTCACATGAAATGATCCGTAAACACTTGCAGAGCACGAACCTACAGCAGTGAAAGGCTTAAAGGTTTAAAGTCAACCAATCGCCACAGACACCCCAAGTATTTTATCTATTTGCTAAGCAGCAATTTTTTCAAAATCATTTAAATTTATAAATGTGAGTGATTCTGATAAGCTATAGACAGCTAAGTGAAGATAAGATAATCATATATAAGATATGTCGGAGTGCTTATTGTGAATACAATGTATTCATTATTTTAAATTAATGTGAATTCTCCTGAGGTGAAAAGGAAAGGAAAGCTGAATTCCTAAATACATGTTACATGTCACAATTGTTCTTATTATTAATTTTTTTCCTAATTTCTATTCTATAAGATGATATTTAAATTCACTGTAATACCTTTTTATAAATTTGGATTTTTGTGACAATAGTCTATCCAGTGACAGAAGCTCACTGACTTAAAATAAACTATCCTGTGTCAGCCTTTAAACAAGTCAAGAAAAAAAAAAGCTATTAAAATATAATAATTAAGAAATATCATATACAACCACTTCTAAATCATCATGTACCGCTTCCTTAAATGCCATGCTACTGAAAGAAACATTTTACCATTTATTCACTGCAAGGTTTGTCAGATTGACAGTCTCACATTTTATTTCATCCTCATTGACCCTAAAGCATCCTTAAAATCGATATCGTGCCGTTCACATTTACAAATCTGACATGTAGGCCGACCATCTGAAACAGAAAGTTGGAAAGATAAAATATAATTATTATTAGATATACATATAGTATCCCAATAATTATGTTAGTTGAAATCAATAGTCAAATCAATAATTTAAGCAGTGTTAGAAATTAGCAGTAGTCCGAGGGCCCGACTACTAAATTTCTCCTCGGGCTACCAACTTTTCACAGTAACAGGCCTGACCAGGCTACTGTATTTTAAGAGGCAATATAAACAACTGTTTTGAACAAATTAATCGTGCCAGAGAAATGTCTTTTGGGCTAGTGAATATTCCAATCTGGTAGTCCGACCAGGCTAGTCGATTCAAATCCTAATTTCTTACACTGTTTAAGAAACAATTTGTTCAAAATTGTCCAAGAACAAAGATTTTTATAGTATACTATAGTAGTTATAGTGTATATACAGTATGTACTAAATGTCTTTTCAATCTACTATACTGTCCTTAAATTTTAAGAAAACAACTATCTTTAAAATCCATTGTCTCAGAAGTTGCAAAACCAAGTAAATGAAATTGTTCTGTATTTGTATTATTCTACACAACTTCTGATCACAAAAGCTTCAAGGACATTAATGAGTGAATCAGGTCCTATCCTGAAAGATTGTTGCGTACAAGTTTGAAGACAATCCATTCAAAAATAACAAAGTCATAGCCACTAATAGCAAAAATCAGGAAAATTTAAATATTTTACCTTGAATGTTTATATGGAGGTCAAGTTTAGTCTGGTCTATTTGAAGGGTTGTTGTGGCCAAGTATGAAGACAATACACCAAGATCTGAAAAGTTATGAAAAAGGTTAAAGTTTGTTGACAGCAACGGGAAAGCTGTCATGACTGTAACAATATATTTTGACCCTAAATGCAAACTGAAAGTTCTAGCCTATACACACTGTTGAGGATAGCCGTTCAGCATTTTTTCAATAATAAATAAATGCAATGATAAAATAGGTAACTTGCAAGTCTTCTAACATTTTTACAAAGAATGAACATATATATTTTTTCCTAATAATTCTACGATGACGTTCAGCCTTTTATATTATAACAAGATATCGGAAAGATATATCAGAAATGAATTGGCCCGTGGACTTTAATGTCAATCATAGAGCTCTTATGCAAAATGTAATGGTAAGCAAACATCCAGCATGAAATTTTCAAGTAGCTAAAAGTGAAATAAAATTATTAAAAATACTTTGTCATAATTCAACTACTGTTGGAAATTGACCCACATGTTTGATTATAATAATGTCCATAGAAATAATAAATTAATTTTCAGTCTCTTTCTCTTTGCGCTTTCACACAGATTTAAATTATTCAACTCCATGATTTTCAGAAGGAAAAAAAATCTTTTGATCATCAAACACTACAAATTACTATACCTACTGTAAATTGCAGTCTGTGCGAAAGGCTGTCGGTCCTCGGACCTCGCCAACTAAAAATCAGTAGGGTCGAGATAAATTTCGATACAGTCAGTTGTCATGTCCGAATAAAATTTCAGCCAGTTTGAAACAATTTTTGGCCTTCTGAAATATGCAAAGCTTCCAAGATCGATCTATCTTTTTAATTTTTGCTTGTATTCACAGACCAAGATAACCAAAATCACCGCAGGATACGACCAGTTTTTGCTAAGTAATGTAAGCCACCATCTTGTCTCGGATAATTTCTTTACCAAAACATATTTTTTCTCCAATCTTCAAAATTAAACCTTTGAAAGATGTACATGTATTGTTTTCTTGTGAATTATGCTAATGTTTTATCAATTATGTTTCTGTATATTTTTTTCTTTAGTATCTTATAGTTGAGTCTGATAATTCATATATGCTAAATATTTTTCTTTATAATTATGGCAATATCCCTCCCCCATACCTACAAAAAAAACCTGTCAGAGTCCGGGCGGGGGAAAAATCATCAGTCTAAGGATCCCAGTCCTTGCGGGTGGAATTTTTTTTTACTTTCGCATTGACTGAAATTGTATATGATATTCAATAAAATCTTCTTTTAGAAAAACAAGTTTGCATATTATTGTTTTAGGCAACTCATTTTTAAAATGCTGTACAGCTAGTCTCAACAGTGAGTATATGCTAGTCGTATTTGACTCGCATACAGCTAATACTGGTTCATACTGCTAGCCACTGCCTATTCCTCTACCAATTCATATACTTCCATGAATACTATTAGTATAATAATCATATAGATGTTAAACAATAAAAGTAATGATGACTTAATATGATGTATATAAAATTCCGCTGCTAAAGACAAGTTGTTTTTATTGATTGTTTATATCAACAAAGGTAATGAGGTAAGTTTATCAAGTTTCCCCGGCAACAGAGTTGTGTGAAAAAAATGTCAATTTGATTAGCCCTTGAAGCAACCATGCACAACATGTGTATTAATAAATCCTTGCAATTATCAAGAAAATAGAACAAATATTTTATCAAGCACGTAAGCAATAAAGACGTAATTTGACTGGTTTACAGAGAAAAATAGTTGAAAGTATCTTGACAGGTATTAATTGGAAATAGATACACAGTTCAACTGTTAAATGGAAGCGGTCAATCAGCTGTTTCAAAAATGAAAGTACACACCAAAAACACTTCAAATTCACATTCTTTGCATAATTAATTTACAGAGTGCGTAAATTAACGCAACAAATTGTTAACCTTGTACGTTTTTAGTTGATTTTAAAGCGTAAAATATGCCGATATTCACATTATCTGGAATCTGTTATATTTAATAATATAATCAGTAATCTTATTATTATCGACCTGTGGTTTTGAATTTTAATACAACTACTTTTTTCATATATAAATGTCTATAAATTTACAAATAAAAAATCTACAAAATTATGGACTGACCATAAATATCATGAAATCCTACATCTGATGAAGGCAAAACTGTGAAAATCAGATCTACATGTATGAAACAAGTATATCTTATTTTAAGTCATATTGAATTACGGACAGGGCGGACTGTGACTCAAGATTAGGCGGACCATGATTTAAAAAGTATTTATATGTGGACTAATGTAATAAAACTATTAAATTATTGATGTCCCAACATATGGTTCGCCTAGTCTCAAGTCACAGTGAGTCCGCCCTGGTACGGTCCGCCCTGTCTCACGGTCTGCCCTGTCCTGCAGGGGTCATAATGTATTTAACAATTATAATTATTACTTAAATCCTTTAAATTTTAGGACCTCTCATAGGATAGGATTTTATTCATTACAGGGCTGGGGCAGTACCTCCAGTCGCTTGCAAAAATCATGATCACAAAATTGAAAACTATCATTTTTCACAAATTATTACATTTTACCTGTATATCATGACATATTTTGGGCCTATTTTGTTAAGCTTAGATAGCTAATACAGTAAATTGAGTAATAGACTGATAGAGATGTGTTCAAAAAGAAGTCAAAAATGTAATAATAATTTAAGAAAATATCTTTCCATGTTTCTGAATAAGTCCAGATATTAATTATGTGGTTTCAACAATAAAAAGTGATAAAAAAACCAATATGTTAATAAATTGAAAAGTGGACCGAGTTGAAAAAAGGCCGAGCTGACTCGGGGCCGAGTACGTTTTAGGGCCGAGCTGACACTGCACTAAAATTTGCAGTCTATCAAGCGAAATATATCAATAGCTTTACCAGATTGTGAAGAAAACTTGATTATACATACGGAATAGATTGCAACCAAAATATCAACGTAATAGCTGGGACTTCCTAATTGATAGCAAATCTTCTCAACCTTTTCTCGGAATAACTGACCAAGATGGCGATTTCGGGAAAATGACGTCAGAGGGAAAATAGTTCGTATTCATACGCATACAAATTTTTACTCTGTCATTCACACTTTTTAACCATTTTAAGCTTGAAAGTTATCTAATTTGAAAATCGTATTCCATCTTCCTGAATTATTGTGTTCTATGATAGTTAGTTAATTTATGACTTGATAAAATTGGCACCAAATTTATGCAAGTACTTTGGCTCTCATGCATCGGGAACCAGAAGGTAGAACAAATAAACTGGTTCTCATTAAATTTTTATCGACTGCTAGCGTAGTAATATTCAAATCGCGTAAAGCAATGGTATTTGTAATTTTGTGATAAAAGGATTTAAAATTAAGTAATAAAATGACCAGTCAATTTTAAATTAGATAAGGTATTATGATGATCTGAATATTATGGCAAAATATTGGAACTATTTTTTTTCAGCGCAGCTAGATAGCCTAAATGCGTTCAAAAGGTAGTAAGCTGAAGTTATCGTAATTACATTGGGGGCTTGTGCCCCCAAAAACTAACATACTTTCATCGATGCTTGAAATAACCACATTCTAAAATAATATATCAAGACAAGCTTACCTCGATCAAAGCTCTTCGATTTTCCAGGATTTTCCATCAACTCGACATCGGGAACGAACGATGTCGAAAGACTGCCACTGATTTGGACAATATTTCATCCACACGATACGTTGTCACAGAAAAATAAAAGTTGGTATCGAAAAAAAAAACCCTTATGTGGAAAAAAGAAAAACCTGCCTTAGTTTTTTAATGATTTCTAAACGAGGTTAAACCCCAATTTACCAGAAAAGTCTTACAATTTCTCACGGCCCCGTCCGACAACTACCTGCGCATGCGCAGAACGTAAAGTCTTACGTTTCTCACGGGTCTGACAAAATTCACGCCACACCGGTGTCGCGTAATAATCACACGGGCGTAATTTTACCACGGTTTACACATGTTTTTTAAAACTTGCCTGTAACTTTATTTACAAACAAAGCGCTGTGAAAATTGGTATAAATCTTCAGCATAGAACAATTATTTCGGTGCATGTATTTGAATATTCTGACAGTATTTATTTTCTCCAGAATATATGCGTGAAATTGAGCTAAATCGCCAAATTTTGCATCTTTCGTAGGGCATTTTGAAAAAACCTGCAAGGTTCTAAAAGTATTAAATTCATGAAAATAAATGCTTTTAAAACTTGTCAGGGGTGTTAAACTTTGTTTCTTGTCCATTGTTTTATTTCTAAATTGGCTAGAACTAATCTTAAGCTGTAGTTGAAAATGGCCAATTTCTCCGAAAACTAGGTCAAATTACCCGAAAATTTTGCCCGAAAGGGTACTATAAATTTAAAACTTGTCATTCATTACCATACACATTTATTCTTAAGAATAAAGGTCTTATAACTTGTCATATATTTTAATATTCACAATTCAATGATTGTTTTAATCAACAAACGCCATAAATATAAATAACACGATTTAAAGCGGCTTGTATCCTTCGGCCATTTTTCAAAATGGCGGACAAATTCTGTTAAAATGTGATCTATATACTTTCTTTTAACTGATTAAGTACATATGCGTCATTATATTGCATTAACTTTGATATCAAAGAGTTAAAAAACGTTTTCCCAACTCAATAAATCATTTAGACAAAAATGACAATTCAAATTAACAAAGGAACTCCACAGCTTTACTGCATTTAAGTCAGCTGCCATTTTTGCCAATTGAGGATCACTTAACTATGGTGTCTGATTTGTGCCACACCTTTTTACCTTTTTCAGTATTTTGTGAATATAGGCCCTTCAACCGCAACAACACAAAAAAAAGATAAAATGATAGAGGGGACACATTTTTTTCCATGTGTCATAGGGTGAGAGAAATGTGCAGCCTGACTGGAACTCGAACCCGGGACCCTAAATAGTGAACACTTCTAAACTGTGACATACTCCCCTGCTATATTGAAATTCTTCCTTGAATTTCACAGAGTTACAGAGAAATGTAAATTATTAAATTTTTAATAAATTCTGAGCTAATTATTATTCAGTCACGGTCCCCCATTGGGCGCAAAGTGTGAATGGGTGAGAAAAATGTGCAGCCCGAGCAAAAATAGAACCTGGGACACTCAGAATACCACATCGCTTCTCTACCGACTTAGCTATCTGGCCGCTTACACATCATCTCCCCAAATTAAATACTGAATAATTCTGACCCCTAGCTGCTATATTTAAATTCATCCTTGAATTTCACAGAGTTACAGAAAAATAAATATAAACTCTGAGCTATATTCAGTCACGGTCCCCCGTTAGGCGCCAAGTGTCACAGGGTGAGAAAAATCTGCAGCCTGAATGGAACTTGAACCCGGGACCCTCAGAATACTGTGTACCATGGCTCTATTGACTTAGCTATCCGGCCGCTTACACATCATCTCCGTTAAATAGTGAACAGTTCTGAACCACGACATACTCCCCTGCTATATTGAAATTCATCCTCCAATTTCACAGAGTTACAGAGAAATGAGCCGCTTCATGACAAAACCAACATAATAGGTTTGCGACCAGCATGGATCCAGACCAGCCTGCGCATCCGCGCAGTCTGATCAGGATCCATGCTGTTCGCTTGCAAACCCTATAACAAGTACAGACACTGATAGCGAACAGCATGGATCCTAATCAGACTGCGCGGATGCGCAGGCTGGTCTGGATTCATGCTGGTCGCCAACCCATTATGTTGGTTTTGTCCTGACGCGGCTCAAATGTAAATTAAACTCTGAGCAATATTCAGTCATGGTCCCCTGTTGGGTGCCAAATGTCACAAGTATCATAATATTTTTCGACATGAACAAGTATAATTTATGTAAGAAAAAATAAAACAAAAATTATGAATAGACGCTTTTTTTCCAATTCCCTGCAATTACTTTTTTCAAGATGCTCCGGTGTGTTGGATAACAAACATATATGTAAAAAAAGAAGGACAATTATTTGACACAATTCATTTTAGTAAACAATATTATTAATTCTAGTATGTTTGGTTAAATATAAAACCATGCTGCGATTATCACGGCTTATCACGGCTTTACTGTCGCGGGCGGTTTCTACATTTTATTCAGAGATCAAGTTTGTTTAACATCAAAACGTTATAAAAGTTTGCATAAACCTTCAGCTGAAGACACATGTAGACACAAAATTGATTTCGGAGAAAATAGTATTATACTTTACATAATTCAAAAATGTTTGATTAAATTAAATATAATTTCGTACGCATGACCGTTGCTACTTCGGCGCGATATAATCGAACACGTGCACTATTCTAATTTCTAATACAAATTATACATTTCGGCATTATAAGTAGCTCTATCTGATTGCAATTTTATTGATAACCATTATTTAATGTAATAACTTACGTTCAAACGCTTCGATTTGTTAAGATAATGTTATTCTAATTAAGCAAAATGACACATCAATGATTGTCTATTTACATCCCTGGCAAAATATAACAATCACACATAGCTATTATCAATATTTAAAATCACAACTGTCTTGAACACTAAGTGAAAACACGATAAATATAAGACATTCTAAAATTAGAACTAAAACTTTAAAAAAAATATTTATCAGAACATGATTATAATTATTCATAACGAAGGTTGTCATAATTATTTAAAAATCGCTGCAATACATGCTTTTTAAAACACTCCCGTGTGTTAGAAAATTAATTAATTCTCACAAAAATTATACTATTAGATGCAGAATTCATTTTAAAATAAAATGGTGTATGATTTAACTATTTTGGAGTAAATCTAAGACCGTACGTGTGATTCTAACGGCACTACCACTAACCGTGTGATTATTACGCCGCCGCGTAATAATCACACGCGTGGTAATATTAAAGCTGTAGCGTAATAATCACACTGGTGGAAATATTTATCATAATCACTAACACAATGATTATTATAATTACTAAGAGGGTCATCATAACTATGTGGAGCTGCATGGTGACAACCAATAACATCATTGCCATTCAATGTGGTCAGTACCAGTACTATCGTCATTGGAAGATATTTTCTTTGTTATAAAAAAAAACTTTAAAAACAAAACTATGATTATTCATAACGATTGGTCGTCTTGTTGTCATAAAAAAGAAATCCATAAAATGCCGTATTATTGAAAAAGAAATTATATTGCGGAAAACCATTTGGAAAAAAATGTATTACCAGTATGTCTGATTAAGTATATGACCGTACGTGTGATCATCACGGTATTACCACACACCACTAGAGCGAAATTCATCACCAACACAATGAATAGCTTTTGTTACTAAGAGGGTTATCGTTATTTAGTAGCATTGAAACAACAATACCCTTATTATATAGCTAACATGTTTTCCCCTTCATTTCGGACTATTTAGCCAGCATCAACCTGCACCAATTTATCTTTACCTTAAGATTAGAAGATGTGTTATCAAATTCTTAAGGTACACTGATGAATAATAAGAGCTACTTTTAACATATACTGAATTTAACTTACTTTTATATCACATTATATTATGTTATTAGCGCGAATCCTTAAGTGTGCCTTTTTTACATTTCACGTGAAAACTATTGTAATTGAGAAAATTTCATATTCATTATATGAAATACGAAAGCAATCTTTTTTATTTTTCATAAACTACTGAAATAGTGTTGATGTCTTATTTGTTGAAAACTTCTATAATGATATATATGTAATGGATATTTCTGAAATAACTGACAATTTTTTCGCAAACATATCCCTGACATATTTCTGAGTTACATTGCTATTCTATTCTTTATTCCACTCAGATCATGCAAACATGACAAAATGAAGTAATAATACATTTGCAATGAACATAATAAACGAGGCTAAGAACCATATATAAATATCACACAATATATAAACTATAGCGGGAAAGTTCATAATCAACAAATATAACCTCGAAGTTATACAGATCAACACTTTTTTCAGGTTCATGAGTCAATTGACAGCATATACATTCTTTGGTGTATCAAAACGGAACGAGGTTTTTATATAAGTTTAATATTATGGAAATGTCATGCCAATTAAAAAAGAATTCACATCTTCATTGACCTCTGCTTTCCGTATACTTAACCCTTTTTCACACCATTACTATAACTAGATCTTTGCCATTTCGAGTCTTCCTTTTATTTATTTATTTATTTATTTATTTATTTATTTATTTATTTATTCTTTTCATTTAATTTTGGATTTTACTATTATCTTGAATTGCATGCAAACACACAAAGCGCAACAAATAAGACTTAACATATTTCAGCTAAAAAGGGGGACTAATATAAATAAAAAATAAAACGGAGGGATATCCATGAGACAGACTTTTTTAACTATTTTGAAACAGAGAAACCTAAACTGAAAAATATTTTTCAAT